GCCCCCCCCCCCCCAATGCCCAAAATGCCCCCCCAATATATAACTGAAACTGAAAAACAACAACAAACTTTGTTTACTGCAAACCAAGTGGCAAATATTATCTTGGAGGACATCATTGCACTTGGGTGACTATTTTTCTATGATCTTAGATGTAAATATTGCATGTTTCTTTCAGATAAAACACATTTTTAACTTGTGAATGAGTCAATGGAATTTCTTGCAATAATGAAAAAATACTGGCAATCATTTTCCACCTGGCACAAACCACATGTTTTGGACAGCTGTGAAGTGACAGAATGTCCCAGCATCATGGTTCTTATATTGCCAGATTCCAGAGAGCCTCCCCTCTTCATATATGGCAGAATATGTCTTCTTCCAACTTGCTATGGTGAGATACATGTAAAAATGTAAGCATTTTTGATATAAAAATTAATATAAAATACAGGCACATAGAAGAACATGAAATGATGGCAAATCTGGTTAGCCCTGATTGACCTGAAAAAAAGAAGATATAGCATGTGTATGTAGCCTTTATAATGACTGTGATATGAGCTTAGAAGTAAAGGCAGTAAAAATACCCCAAAAACGCCTAGGGCCCATTGGGTTAAATATCTGACGAAAGAATAAGTTGAGAAAACTTTCCTCACAGTTTTTGATGCGACCAAAAAGGCGCTGAGGTTTAACACCAGCCTGACATGTTATTACAGGAACCACTGCGCCTCGAAAACTGTGATTGATTCGAATCATCACTTTTCTCAAAAAGAAAAACTGAGCTGCTGTATTGAATGGCTATCACCAGGTGCCATTGTTATTTTCCTCACACTGTGCTTTTCAGTTTCACAGAAGAAGAAAGACAGAAACAAACTGGCCGATTCTCCCTCAAAGCGTTTTCATCCTATGCCTTTTTCATGGCAATCAAGATTTGACCTCAAACAAAGCTTTTTTTTTTTTTTTTACAAAAGCAGCAAGCTCTGGATTTAATTTGGTCCAAATCAGTGATGTAGTCCACATAATAATTTTTCATCTTTTAGATGAGGCACATATATTCATGCTTCAAATCATGACAAACACAAGTAACTTGGATGTTTTTCAACCTGGGCTCTATTTTCCCATGTTTTTGTGTCTAAGGGTGCTTTCACACCTGCCCAGTTGGTTCAGTTCAATCAAACTCAAGTTCGTTAGCCCCGGAAGTGCGGTTTGTTTGGGCAGGTGTGAACACAGCAATCACACTCAGGTGAGCACCAAAACAACCAGACTGAGACCTTCTTAAAGAGGTGGTCTCAGTCTGGTTACAAATGAACTCTTGTGCGGTTCGTTTGTAGTGAAGGTGTTCTGACCTGGATCTGAACCAACTGCAGTCACATGACACATTGTTTGGGTTAAACATGAGCATGTTACAGTCCTGGAGGATTATTAATGTGCACCTCCTCCTGTACTGCCTTAATATGCACATTCAGCACATCCAATGCATCAAAACATTGTTTTCTAGTTGGAGCCGCGCCTCGTTTTCAAACTGTATGCTTTGACTAAAATGAACAATGACAACAATATAGTCCACGATGAGCAGCGCTAAAATCAACCTGCGTAGTTGTCCCTCCATTGTGACATTAGAAAGTGTCACATTTATCTTGCAAGTGTACTCTTCTTCAACGTTTGCTTTACTTCCTGGATTTTTCCCACATGGAAATTCTGACCAATCAAGAGCAGCTTTCTCACACAAGGCATTTTATCTGGTCTGCTTGTAAATGCTGCCGTGAGAACACGAACCAACTCTAGGCAATTATACAACTCTGTAACAAAATGAGTCCCTGATTCAGACTAAGTGACTAATGGGAAAAACAATATTTGAAACTGGTTCTGTATTGAGAGAGAGGTCTGCAGCCAGCAACAGCATTACAGGCTGCAACATAACCGTTTGCAGCAGGTGTTTGCTTTTGTGACATTAACAAATTTTATCCTTAATTAGATTTAAGACTTAAGCTGTTTTAGTGAGAAAAACACCAACAATCGAGCAATTAATCCTCATTCTCTTGCTCTTTCTCTTTCAGACTATGAGAAGATCTTCCTTCTCCTGAAGCAGATCCAGGGCACTCTGGACACCCGACTCATCTTCCTCCAAAACATCATCAAAGAGGCTGCCAGGTACAGAGTTTAACTCTCCTCTGATGTTTCAGCATTACTGTTACTACCTTGCTGTCTCAAATAAGCCGTAAACAGAACTGATTTGATTTGTAGTTAAGAAACAAATCACCTGTGTTTCACTTAAAGATATTGTATTGCTCAACTGTTTGCTCAGACTTTCCCTTCACGACTGTCTTTAGATGAGGAGCAGTTCTCTGTCAGGCTGTGATTATCAGGAGTGTCTTGTTCCTGAGAAAATATGACTATTAGGCCCTGATCACGCAGAAAGCACTACTAGCACACTAATCTTCCCGAGCAATCAATCTGTTTTTTCCCCAGTAATCAGTATCTAGTTCCTAAAATGTTGAGGCAGAGGGTCCTGTCTGTAGCACTGGTTGAGGGTGAGAGGCTGTCACCAGATAAACAGAGATCTGTGTGGGTACATGAGATCCTATAAAAGAGGGTGGATCATGGGGAGTACCACCAGTTGGTCCAGGAGCTTCTCCTCCATGATGGCTGTCTCCAGGCATATTTTAGGATGACTCAGGGGCAGTTTGACAACCTGCTGTGTATCATCGGGCCGTATAGCTCTGGGTAACCAGCAATAGCTACCACCAGTTTCTACTCCATTGTTTACCAACTGTAAACTTGTTGTCGTGACCACCACAGAAGGCCCGCCTCTCAAATCATCCAATTGGACAATGGGGCAATAAGTGGAGATCTTTTAATTAGCCTGACATCATCACACCAGTTTAAAAATGTGAGTTAGACTGGAATCTCTTGTTCATTTTTGATTTCCAAGGGCCAATATGAAATTTGAAAGACCTACAACTAGTGAGAGCAACAAAATGTGATGTAGCGCTCACTGACAGACAAATATAAACAGACTACAGTGAGCAGATGAGCTGTGACGCTTTAGCGTCAGCGTGTGCGAACAAGTGCTGCCGTTTTGGCCATCAGAATTTGAAAATAATTTGAACATCAGCTGCAGCCATCTCGGTACCTTGGTATCTTGGCACTCCTGTTACTAAGGTAGGTTTATGCTCGCTGCTGTGCCTCCAGTGCAAGATCGTGTGAGCCAACAATGACATCACGTATTTTGCATAAAGCACAAAAGCTCTTAAAGTTGTCAGTCATCGTCTGAAACACGCCTCACAGTAGATTAACGGCTGTAATTGGCCCAAGTCAGCTAGTAATGAGCTTATGATTTTATTGACTGAATTGCTCCAGAAAACAAACCTTAACATTTGTTTTTATCGCTTCAGGTTCAAGAAGCGCGTTCTCATCGAGCAGCTGGAGAACTTCCTGGAAGAAATCCACAACAGATCCAATAACATGAACCACGTGGACACGCTCTGAGACCGGCTCATTCCCAAACTGAACTTAATGATAATAAACCTGACAAACACCCTCATCCTTCTGAGTCCCCCCCTCTTTCCCCTTCCTTACTGGGGCCCCTGCGGAGACGAGATGAGACGAGACAGCACCCAGCTCTCAAACTATCACCTCTTCAGCGGACTCTCAAGGTTATTGATGGTCGCGTTGGTTTGCACACAGTTTAAAGTCAGTGTTGACCCTGGATGATGCGAGCACATTTTTCAGATATCCAAAAGGGGGAGTGAGGAAGCGCACAGGTAAAGTGTTTGTCTATGTTGGACATTTGGCTGTTGTTGTCCTGAAGCATTCCCTTCGATTATTCCCCTCCCAGATTAGATTTTCTTCTTCTTAAAAAGACAACGAAAATCTCTCAAACGAGGAGGCGGAGTAAACGAGAGGAGCGCAGGATGTGTCTTGTGAGGAACAGGTGGCAGCCTGCGCCTGGATGTCATGTTCAGTCGTGTTTAATGTGTGACGATGTGATAAACCGACGGTGTAGGAAGGGTGCAGGTTGAGTTTTGGTAACTCAGGGTCAAACGGGATCCAGTGGAGATGCTCATGAAGTACTTCTCTCCCCATTTTTGTTCATTCACTTTCCCCCTTCGTGTTAGTTCTACTTTTTGTTTCGTGGGAGGACGAGAGTCTGTCACTCTGCTTTCACTGTTGAAATTAACTTTCAACACTCCACTAACTGAAGCACTCCAAAGCTGTGCTCTTAAACTTTGCTCAAGTATTAGATTTGATCAACTTGTGGTTTACCTGCCAGACTGATGATTAATATCACTGAGGATAAATGAATTGATAATTTCGCTAAAACCGATCCGTAGTTTTGATGACGTCTGCAAACTGTTAACTGTAAACTGTGGTTTTCTGAGAGATCAACACAAAATCCACTGAAATGATGCGACATCATTGGTTACAAATGTTGAAACACAGGGACGAAAAGCTCAGGAACTAATGCATCATAATCAGCAATAACATCGGAGCTACTTTAACCCCACATTTCTATCTTATTTTACCCTGAAACAGCTGATATGCAACACAAACTGTCGTCTCCTGGAGTGTTGATGAGCCGAGGTCTCGGATGCCAGCTTGTCCCAACATGCTGGTCGCTGCCAAATAACTTAACCCGCCCCTGGAAACTCCTCCCCCCCGCCATGAATCTCAAACCAACTTCTTGTCACTTAACCGTGAATGCACTTGTGTAAATTTGAGAATTTATTTAATGTAATTTAAAAGAAAAACTACATTTTTGTTGCAGTTTTTCCCAGCAATCCTTTATCTTTTTTTTGTCGGGCCTGTTCAATTTTCTCAAATATACACAAAGAATCTGAATTGAGGTCTAGAGGTCAGGAGTTGATTTCTGATTCAGAGGGCAGCCCTCTTCTGTTCCCTCCCTCCTCGGACAGGGACCAAAATCTGCCATACTTGTCTTTGTTTGTGAAGAGGCCGCTACCAAAAGAGTATTTTGAATACACTGTAAAGATGTAAATAACCCTAGAGTACTATTTAAAGAGAATGTTCAGTGGAAAATGGCCTTTTTGTAAGTATTTCCATGAATAAAGTTTCTATTTTACACTGTGAAGGGCCATGTAAATAAAGTGTTCTGTAAAGATGTGACTCTTTGTGTTTTTGTCCACGTTTGTTGGAAGTTTTATGCCTACCATACACTACAAGACTTTTAAAAGACTAAAGTCTGATATCAATGGGTGGATTACTGAATGCACTTACCGGGCACAGGTCCAGGGGCCCAAAATGTCACTGAAATAAAACAACCAGGAAGAGACTTAAAATGACAACAACAGACATGCAGAAGTTTAAATAAAATTACTACAAAATAACTAAAAAAAAGGTGCAATACAACAACAAAGAGACACAGAATGACCTTAAAGAGACACAAAACAACCCAAAAAAGACAGTGACCTTAATGAGCCACAAAATGATCATAAAGAGACACAAAATGATTTCATAGACACAGAACAACCAAAAAAGACACAAAATGACCTAAAAGACACAAATCAACCAAAAAAGACAAGAACATTACCTTGAAGAGACACAAAATTACTTTGAGAAGATACAAAAGAACCAGAAATACACAGAATGAGCTCAAAGAGACACAAAACCACCAAACTAGACACAAAACGAAACAAAAAAGACACTAAATTTCCTTGGAGAGATGAAAAATAAACCAAAAGAGACACTTAATTACCTTGAAGAGATGCAAAACGACAAAAAGACACAAAATGACTTCAAAAAGATACAAAACAACCAAAAGAGATGCAAAACAAAACAAAAAAAGACACTAAATTACCTTGAAGAGATGCTAAACAACAAAAAAGACACTAAATTACCTTGAGGAGTCACAAAACAACCAAAAAAAGACACTAAATTTCCTTGGAGAGATGCAAAACTAACCAAAAAAGACACTAAATTACCTCAAAGAGACACAAAACTAACCAAAAAAGACACTAAATTACCTTAAGGAGTCACAAAACAACCAAAAAAAGACACTAAATTTCCTTGGAGAGGTGCAAAACTAACCAAAAAAGACACTAAATTTCCTTGGAGAGATGCAAAACTAACCAAAAAAGACACTAAATTACCTTGGAGAGATGCAAAACTAACCAAAAAAGACACTAAATTTCCTTGGAGAGATGCAAAACGACCAAAAACAAAAAATAAGTACACTGAAGACACACACACACAAAAAAAGACCCATTTCTATATCTGTACCCAGGGGCCCATTCGCCCATGCTGACACTCACATCTGAAGACAAGGTGAGTTTTCAGTCACACTACAAGAGTTTGCACATAAGACTGGGGATCTTGCAGGGTCACTATTTGCAAGACTAAATAACAGATTCCTTTTAAGATTATTTTCCACCTCAGCTACCAGCCTGCATTTGTTAGCCGCACCATTTTAGTGGGAGGAGACTCAGAATGAGAGCCGAACTGTCAAAAATTAAGATTTCTAACTAAAATAAGTTGGTGGATCAGATACACACCAAATAAACACAGACTCTGGTTCGCTCCAGAACTCCACCCGTTTCTCCTCCTTTTCCACAGAATAGCCTCCTTAATTGGAAATTTGTCTGTGACAGTGAAATCACTTAAAGTCGTTAAAAATTCCCATTAATGGAAGAAAGGACCAAAACACACTGAGCGTAAAAACATGTATTAAAATTTTATTTACAGACATGTACAAAAATATTGTCCCTCTTCCTGAAGTGTCCGTGGACCCTCCCGTTGGTCCACAAATAAATACCAGTAGTGAAATAAGGGGGTCGGGGGAGAAGTGTGTGTGGGTGTGTGTGTGTGTGTGAGAGAGGTGTTTGGGTATCTTAGGGTGCTTGGTCCACTGGGTTCATCACTCGGCCCATGAACAAGATGGATCCTGGAATGGAGAACACAGTAAAGATAAGTTTCAGTTTCTTCTTTGCTTTAAAGGATCATACCACTGTTTTTGTGAGTTTAAAATACTAAAAGACACAGTGTGAAGATTTCTTGTTCGTTGAAAATTTTGAGTGAAAATTGGTGCACTCTGTTGCATTCAGCTCGATCATTGAACTGTTCCTGTGGTGGTGTGTTTTTTTAAACTAACACCAGGGGTCGCCAAATCTAAAATATTCAAATCCTGCATGTTGGGCCTTTAACTGCAAATCATTCAGTCTGAGGGTGCTTTCAGACCTAGAGTTGTCTTGCTTTGGTCCGAATCAGGGACTAATTTGTTACAAAGATATATAATTGCCTAGAGTTGGTTCATGCTCTCACAGCGGCATTTACAAGCGGACCAGATAAATTGCTTTGGGCTAGAAATCTGCTCTTAATTGATTAAGATTTCCATGTAGGAAAAATCCATTTCCTAAAAAGGCTGACCAATGTCTAGTTTAGAGCCTATCCCAGCTGTGAGAGGCAGGGTTCACCCTGGACAGGTCACCAGACTATCACAGGGCTGACACATTAGAGACAGACAACCATTCACACTCACATTCACACCTACGGACAATTTAGAGTCACCAATTAACCTGCATGTCTTTGGACTGTGGGAGGAAGCTGGAGTACCTGGAGGAAACCCACACTGACACGGGGAGAACATGCAGACTCTGCACAGAAGGGCTCCCCCACCCTGGGTTCAAACCAGGAACCTTAAAAGTAACTCAATCTCAGTCTAATCACTGGCAGTATGCAATACTCCTGTATGCAACCCTGTTGGTAGGAGCTCCACCCTCTGGGAGTTGTAGTTTTCTTAATACTGGATTGGTTGTAGAGTCAAAACATGGAGACTACTGGCATGTTCCTTTAAGCAGCACAGCTGGACTGGAGTTGGAAAAGTATGTGTAATGTATGTTAAAGAAAAATACCTGTGTTAATCTGTCGTAGAAGAAATAAGAACGGCCGGTCCGCCTTGAAAACAGGAGCACGGGATCGTTTGAGGAGCACCATCGCTGCAAGGTTAACAAAACACTGGTTTATTATCCAATAATCTTTTATTCTATTAAAATAAATGATTGCAGGCAGGCACAATTAACATGACATATCTGTATAATTTCATTATTCTGCAGAGCAGCTCTCACCTGTAGCAGCAGTTGCTTTTGTCCCATCTTCTGTGACTTCTATTCTCACTTCATGGAAAGCATCTGACACGTAAAGACTCTCCTCCACTGCAGGAGGAAACAAACTGTGAGCTGCTAGCAGAGCCACAGGCATCAGTGTGCCACCTGCAGCTTATGGTACGCTACACTGTTTGTGATCCGCTTCTCCTAACAAGTTGTTGTACTGACCTGATATTCCAGTGAAATCAGCTGCCGTCGGGTTGAAGGCGTCGCTAATGCCCATGGCGGGAAGCACTGACCTCAGGTTGAACTTGTTCTGCATTCTGAACCTGTGAACACCAGACACAACAATGTTTGTACATCATCTCAAAGATGTTGAGTCTTAGAATCATCTTGAAACAAAATGCATGATCTTGACCTGGGTAGGAATATGTCCATCTTGATTCTGCGCAGGCCGGTGTCCCAGGAAGCCAGTTGGCGAGCGGTGAGCTGGGACTCGAGGGAGGACAGCGGCGTCTTCCTCTCACTGGGCAGGACCACCTGCAGGCTGAGGGAGCGGCCCAGGTACGGCAGCTCCAACACAGTGTAACGCTGATCTGATGCTGTCCTGAACTGACCTACAAGGGAGGGCGACAAGTTCAGGTGTGCAACCTCTGACTTTTTCCATTGATTTAATTCGACTAAGTATAATTCAGTCTGTAAGATGTCAAAAACAGTGTTATCAGTGACTTCAAGGGTAGCTTTGTATTTTCCAACCTGGACACTATGTTTACATTTTTGCATTGAAGTGACTGGGAACAAATAAAATTGGTCTAATATTGAGCAAGAGCACTGCATCTAACAGCCGTGACAACATTATGGAAAGGATCCCTACAGAGATAGACCTCATTGTTAAAGAGTAAGATCTTTTTTTATCCAGAAACATCCCAGAAGTTACTTTTGTCAAACCCACGAGACTCCATTTAAATAGTAATTTTATCACTGTGAAACACACTTCATCCAGAATCACCTCCAAATCTGAGGCCATGGTTCTCCGGTGGATTGGCCCCTCTTGGTTGGGAGAGACTTAGTGCCTCAAGCGGGGAAATTCAACCATCTCATGGTCTTGTTCAGGAGTGAGGGTAGAATGGAATGCGATATGGATCGGCGGTTTGGTGTGACCTCTGCAGTGATGTGGGTGCTGCGCCGGACCGTCGTGGTGAAGAGGGAGCTGAGCCGGAAGGCAAAGCTTTCGATTTACTGGTCCATCTACGTCCCAACCCTCATCTATGCTCATGAGCTCTGGGTAGTGACCGAAAGAATGAGATCGCGTATACAAGCGTCTGAAATGAGTTTCCTCCGTGGGGTGGCTTGGCTCAGCCTTAGAGATAGGGTGAGGAGCTCGGACATCTGGAGGGAGCTCGGAGTAGAGCTGCTGCTTCTGCGTATAGAAAGATCAGTTGAGGTGGTTCGGGCATCTGATCAGGATCCTCCTGGGCACCCTGTTAGAGGCTGGAGGGATTGCATATCTCATCTGGCCTGGGAATGCCTCAGGTATCCCAGGAGGAACTGGAAAGTGTTTCTGGGGAGAGGGACGTCTGGGGTGCTCTGCTTGGCCTGCTGGCCCCATGACCCGGCTTTGGATAAATGAATGAAAATGGATGGATGGATTTCATTCAGAGTGGAAACCAACTCAGGTTTGGTTAAAATAAACCCTTCATTTACCCAGTTAGATGTGAAAACATGCTGGCTCTATACACAATATGTGTGTAATGACTGTTTATTCAAACTGGTTGGTTCGCTGATAGTGATTTTGGGGCTGTTTCTAGTGAAATGAAAGGATCTACTCTTTAACAAAAAGGTCTGTCTCTGTAGGGATCCTTTCCATAGTGTTGTCAGATGCTTAGAATCAGTCTGAGCCTGTCAGTGGCAAAAACAGGCACTATTTGTGGACGTACACTGAAGGTGCGAACATGTCCCGAGTGGTTACATTGCAGCCCGTCTTCCTCACTACTGAACCTCTTTCAAAAATGGTTGTTCCCATGAGTCACTTAAACAGGAAAATAAGGTCCAGGGTGAAACATACCG